CCCACCAGTAAAACTGGGAGTGTCATACTTCTTCCAATACATCTGGTTTCTGGGCTCTCACGGGTGTGCACAGCAATGGTGTCTGCTGCTCTCATGTCTTCTGGGTGCTAAAGGAATGGAAAATGCTTTAAAATATTTAATGACAAATTTAGAGGCTTTTCAGAGGAGTCCTCAACCAGCTTGTGGGATTCATATGGCAGAATAAATTTGTAAATTAATCCACAGAAACGCTTGTACCCCTGGGGACTTATTGATAGAATATGAAGTTACAGATAACATCTTTGCCAATGTTCTGTAGTATCAATGCCATTGTCTATCTTATTTTCTCCCTTATAATTTCTTCTTGTTGGTCTTTTACGTGGAACTAGCATTTTTGTCCTAATTAGACAATTACACATTATGATGCACTAATTTGTTAACCTATGTTCACAAATCTTTTAATTACAGCAGTCGTCTTTGATGTGCTGTTATTATTCAGCTATGGCAGTAAACAATTCAACAGCTAACTGGAAGGAACTCATTATTTTCTGAGAGACATTGTCATTATTTTTCAAAGTATTTTTTCCCCAAGAATACAGACAGAATAACCAGAGAAATACACAGAGAGAGTCATTACAGAAACCAAACATCTCACTCCCCCATATTGATAGTTATTATTGAAAACACAAAGATTTTTTTTCAGCATAAATAAATTGGGGATTTATCCTTCATGCTTGTAATCCTCAAGCTTCAAAACAGCCAGAGAGATGAGAAAGCCTTCTCTAGAGGCAGCAGCGGCAGCAACAGGTACTGGATATGTGGCCCTTCACCATGCTTCCAGGTTTCAGTGTAATCCCTGCAGTTAGAGGGGACACAGCCATACTGACAAAAGTTTTTGCTCATTTTTGAAGGTGGAATAAAGATGCCACATGCTTAAATCGGTTAGGTATCCTTAAAGGGAGTGTTTATCCTGTCTTCTGTCCTTACTCCTTGCTCAAGAAAAACATAGCCGGGTGATGCAGGTTTTTTTTTCCCTTTCAGTTACTGTCATTGACCTGCCTTTAATCTTTGTAAGGATTATGTTAATACTGCCAAGCATTTTTCTTCCCTTAAAAGAAGAAGTCTCCAGGGACTCTTGAAAGAAATAAAAAGCAAATTCTCCAGATCCTTATCTCATGCTATTTTTGAGAGGCTTTTGTTTTGCTCCTTTGCTCTTGTCATATTTTGGATTAAAGTACTTCCACAGACACAGCACACGTGCAAGCGGACCGTTCACCGTGCCGGATTTGTGCCCCCCATGCCAGGCCAGGGCAGCACCCCCACTTCAGCTTTTCCCTTTCAGGGAAAGTGCGGCACTGCCACAGCTGCAGAACCAAGTGTGACAAGAAAGATTTTACGGCAGGCAGCTTGCAAACAGAAGTTTTGTGAATGTAAAGCATTGACCCAAAGTGAATTCCCACCCAGAAGCACTCCCACAGCAAGTCCCCGCTTGCCATGGGTTGGGGTCTAGACAGCACTTAGACAGCACCCAGACCTGCACACCAACACCCCCCTGAAGTCACACCCTGGCCTCTCACACTGCCATGGCTGGAAATACCGTTATTGCAGCAGACACAGCCTGCACTTACCCCAAAATTGTCAGTGGTGACTTAAGTTAACTTCAACATGGCAAAAAGGGGTTTTTCCTGGCTTACTTCCCTCTGCTTGCTGCCATGTCCTCGGTGTTCCTCTCCTCCTCTCCCAAGCTCAGCTCCTCCTCTGTTAGGCTGCCCTATTAACCTTCTCCATATCCCACCCACCCGAATTTGCAATTATTAAACATCCAGAGCCTTTGTTCAAGGTCCTTAAACAAAAGCATAGCTACAGCATTTCCTGGCAAGAGATGCCTTATACCCAGCAGTCACTTAGGGCAGTTCTAATGGCCTCATTTCTCCCAAACACAAAACCAGGGCACGCCAGACAGGCGAATTCAAGGGCACGTCCTTTCCTGAATTCCACAGAGCAAGATAAGCCTGTGAGCCTTGCGCTTATTTTATCTTAACTAAGAGGCTTCCCCCGTTCTCCCACTCAGTAGAAAACTAATTATTTACCACTGAGGCACGCAATAGGTTAAAGTTTCCTCCGTCTTGTCTCAGCTCCCTTTGCAGATTAGGGGAAAACAATGAAGTCTCCGCACTTTGTGATATTGCTAATGCTTCCTGTGGGGATAGCAGCGCTGGCTGCAAAGAGGATTATGATTACAGTTTAAAAGGAGCGTGCACTGTACTGCCACAAGAGGCACAGGCTTATCAGAAAAGAAACCAAGCTGCCCCCAAACTATGCACGTGGGACTCCTGCCTGCCTTTGGTTCTGGCTGCTGGCTCTGCCTCAGATCACACTCCCACTTATCTGGAGTGATAAAGCAGCAGCTGAGCTTGCAGGGGGCACGGCGGGGTAGGGGGGGGATAAATAAGTAATGCTGTGCAAGCAGCTTGCATACGTTCACCACCAGAACACACAGCAACGTTTACAGATCATCCCACCACGTTCATCCACATCAAAACACGGAGCTGGCCAGGGCACAGCAGAGCACTGGGGCAGCGCGTTCCTGGCCGTGGTTGGGAAATCTTGAAAGAAAAAGTGTTGGAGGAGTTGTACTGGCTGTGGTGACGCTGGCTGGCCTTCCACAGACAAGACTGTGAATGCTCTGAAAAGCACAGCATCATCAGTTAGATCTGCTCTGAGCAGAGGTAGCGTTGAGTTACAGCTTCAAGTGCTGGTGCAGGGCCTCTATCAGTCTCATGGCTGAGCACGGAGTTGACTCAGTGGAAGAAAGAAAAAGAAATTTCCACTGAGCATTCATAAGACACATTTTCTATCACTCTGGGTTCTCTAAAGTACTATGAGCGAGATAGCTGTTTACTCACACCCCTACATCTATACCAGCTATGACAAAAGAGACACAGCACAACTTCTTTTTGTAATATCAAGGCTTTGGCCAAGCCAGCCATCAAAAATTCCTCAGCTCCAAGGAGTGCTTAACCTAAGTGGAGGGTGCACCTACTGGCTAATGCCCAGGTCAGCATGCCACTGTTTTCCCCCTATAGTTGCACAGTTCAAACCAGCCAGCACGAGAACCTGAGTCCTCCTGAAGTCTTATCCTTACGGTAGACACATCCTGCTGGCGTGTGAGAGGGTTTTGTTGTTGTTGCTGTTGGTTTGGAGTTTTATTTTGGTGGGTTGTTGCTTGTTTCTTTTTTAAAACACTATCACTGCGTTTGTTCTTTTCCAAGTCATTTGTACAACTGATGCAAGCTGCAGTTTTGCAGATGTTCCCACTCACCCTTAATTCTGTTCAGAGGGGTTTAGTAGCTCCCTATCTGCTTGCTAAAGGCTAGAACAGCAAGCAGTAGCATTGATGCATGCTCTCCTGGATATTTACAGGTTTAGAAATCACTGAGCTTCACCCCTCAGGCCTCACCCAGCACCGCACTGTCTCCTTACACAGTGTTGTTCTAAGCAGTCTTTACCACCTCCCACCACACACCAGAAAAGCCACAGACCAAACCCTCCAACAAGTCCTAAATCTGAACAAAGCAACAGCTTTAAGATGCTCACAAAGGACTTTCATGCCTTAAACCAAGCTGTTTGGCTCCTGCAGAGGGCTAAAATCTCTCAGAGTCAGTGAAAGTTGGATGCTTTTCACTAACAAAAACCAGCCTTCTTGTGCTGGTACAGTTCATGCATCTCTCTGCTAACCTTTGTTGCTGGGTGCTGGACTCATCTGGGTTCCCTCTCTATCCACTTTTCTTTACCATTAATCTTAGTGGAAGAGGAGAAGAAATGGAACTGAAAGACCAAATGTTTGCCTGGCTTATGGCTTTTAAAAACAGAACACAGATTAAACCAGAAACTTTCCCATTAACCTACCTTCAACAAATGTGCTTTAAGAGACTTGTGAGCCCTGCAGAGATCTGAATTCCAATTGACCTTGATGTTCTTGATGCTCTCTTATTCTCTGAGATCAATGGGGGCAGAGACATTAGAAATAATAAATTAAAGTCACTGTCTTTCAAATCTTAAACGAGTCATGTGGGCCCCAAGCCTTGGGAAGGCAAAACTTCAGTGCCTTACCCAATTTCACATCCTGAGAGCCAGGTAACTTGAAGTATGCAAGGAAACTTCATACCTCAGAAAAAAATGACCTGCTTGATGGTGAATGTTTTAAATATTATCTAAGAAGATTAATAGGGTTATTTGATTTGTTCTGCACTAGGTGAGAAAGCAAAGGCAACCTTAGCAAGACAGACCAACACAAAAGCAGCAGAAAAACAATCAAAATAAATCAATCAAGGTGAGGGCTGAATAAGTAGACTTATGAAAAAAAAGAAATTGATGGAGTGGATTCAGGTCTAGATAAAGGCACTTCATCATCACCTCTGCAGACGAGTCATTTTCTTTTTGGCAACATGGATATTGAATTGTGTCAACAGCATCAGGACAAGCTTTCCACTCAAATCTAGTCGATACGTCTCTGCTCCTTCCACCCTCAGTGGCTCAAATAGAGATTTTGCCTGACAGTGGCATACATCATCATCACATAGAGACCATTGATAAGCTCTGCAAAGGAGACCCATCCACAGGATGGGCTGTTGATTTAAAACCAAGGAAAAGCAGTCAGAGTCAGCACGTCCCTTTGCCAGGCTACCACTAGCAGTGATGCGGATAGGTAGAAAAGCCTCCTGCAAAGGACAGCTCTCCAAGTTTGGGCAGAACCAATCAAAACTGCTATCCAAGAGAAGACTGGGAAGCAAGGAATCAAAAGTCGATGTATAGGTAAACTCTACACCTCTGTCCTGTCTGAGAATGCAGGGCTAGGTCTGCATAAACTCTACCTTAGTCCAGATGTAATTGAAGATACAAGTTACTTAGAAAGCTAAAGGTCTGACGTTCAGTAGAGACCAGGTACACAGAAAATTGCATTGCAGCCACAGTGAACAGGAGAAGCAAGAACAATTTGTTGTCTTCCAACACGGGCCTTAATGTCAAATGCAGTGATTCATTTTATAACTGTCACCCACACATTTCTCACCGGTTATCTTTACCACAGCAACAATCAAACCAGGCTGGATTCAACTGACCACACCACACTGAGGAGCTCCACGCTTCTGTGGCCTCTTGAGCCTCCTTCCTGAAGGACATTTAGCACTCTAAAAACTTTAAACTGGGGAGTGTTTGCTGCCCTACATGGACATATCTCATTCTGCCTATACAGACTTCGGTATATCAGCTTTCAGAATGCAATTTATACATTTCTAAAAATCAATCAGAATCCTTAAGCTCTTACAAAAGGAAATGAAAAATATTACTGTCAAATACCCATCAAACCTAAAAGCCTAGGTGACTGTCATACATTAAATAAATTAAAAGGCTGCATTTGAAGTAGTATATGCTCTTCCCATCCCTATCTTGAAAGGCTCTGATTAAAGCGCTCTCAGTATCAAAATTCAATTTCTGTCAGGTTTTGCAAACAACAACGGCCTTGAGCTGAATGCTGCCAGCCTGCCTGCAGCCTTTGAGGAGATTAGGTTATTACCAGCCAACTGTGAGAATCTTAAATCCAGTATTAATCCTAATTCCCATTTAACCACATCTGCATTGTGCGGTCAAAGCTGGCTGTCCATGAACTTGCACATGCATTCTTCCATGTGCAAAGATTTATGTTACAAACAACAGACACTGAACCTCACGTATGTTTAAGGAATACAATCTGACCTTAGTTTCTAGAAAATCCCAGTAAAAGAGAAAGACTGGAACTTGAGAAAAGAGTGGGCCAAGTTGGAATGATTTCTGGGAGATGATGAGAATGGGACCATTTCCAGCCTAAAAGCTTTTAGCAGCCAGTAACAGGAGATTTCATCCCTAGCTTGGAAGGAAACAAGACACGTAGCCAAATCGCAAGGACACTGAAGAATCTGTGACCCTGTGCAGTGGTGCTGCCACTCTCACATCACCAGTAAATGACTCAGACGATAACCACTGAGGCTGCAGAAAGCACTGCCCATCACCATGGTCACATTCACTCTACCAAGATGAGTTTTTGGGGGCAAAAGATTCAACATTTGCTCTGAGCAAGCTCTTGCTCCCCTCTCTTCCTAGAGGTTCTGAAGCAGCATGGCCCACCTCGCCACCCTCAACTGCTGAGCCCCTGGGCATCACGTCAGACCAAGGCCCACTGACCATCAGAGCAAAGGCACCTCCTGCAATTCTTGGTCTCCTCAAGCTGCGCTGACACAGACTCGCTACAAAAGCTTTTGCTAACAGCTAGCTCTTCCTATTGTAAATGTAGGAGAGCCAAAGTACCAGCCTGTATCCTTTCCAACATCACCTTCCATCCAATTCCCTCTCAAACACCATTATGGCTGCCAAATTGGGCATGGCTCCAGGCTGCCAAGGCTTGCTGAATCATCCATGGGCAAGATCGGGTCATTCAGTACCTCCTGGCATTCCTGGGCAAGGTACTGATCCTAGAGACAAAGCAACTGAAGATGAGAACAGACTGCTGCTTGATCTACTATCAAATGGGACAATTTTAATTCAGTTAAAAAAAGTTCTCACAGATATTTGGAAAAAACCCAGTAATGTTTCCTGTGTTTAAAGCACAAGAATTCACTGCAGATGAAAGGAACCTTTCAGGAAACACATTCCCAAGAGAACAAAAATGTGTTTGGCACCGGTGCCTGCTACAGGCAAAAGACCTCCCTACTGGCAAAGGAGTCAACATCT